ATCGACCCGGCGAAAATCAAGACCATACAGGAGTGGAAGCCCCCGACGAACGTCACGGAACTCCAGAGTTTCCTCGGATTTGTGAATTACGTCCGGCGTTTTATCCCGAATATGGCGGGGATAACCGGCCCGCTGACCGACCTGCTGCACAAGGACACAAATTTTGTGTGGGGGGAGGAGGCAGAAGCGGCTTTCCAGGAACTCAAGAGTTTTCTCGTATCCCCTCTTGTGCTGCGCATCGCCGACCCATCGAAGCCGTTCGAAGTCGTAACCGACGCCTCGGATTTCGCCATCGGAGCTGTGCTTCTCCAAGATTTCGGGAACGGGTTGCAGCCGATCGCCTACGAATCACGGAAGCTGCACGCAGTCGAACGCAACTACCCAATCCACGTCAAGGAGATGCTCGCCATTATGCACGCCTTTAAACCATGGCGATGCTACCTGGTGGGCGCCGACGTCACTGTTCGCACAGACCATAAGTCCTTACAGTACCTACGAGCCCAACCCAACCTCAACCCACGACAGATTCGATGGCTCGACTACATGGAGAGCCATTTCACCTACCGCATCACGTACAAAAAAGGGGCGAATAACATCGCCGACGCACTCACCCGACCGACAGTACAATCCGCTGCAGTACTCATCACCCATTCGAACCCACTACTTACAGGACTATTCACCCACGGCTACTCTACGGACCCATTCTTCACGACCGGGAATCATCAGCAGGCCACGACGCAGAAAGGGGATTATTACCTAAAAGCCGGAACCGGCCGGATTTGGGTCCCCGCTTACCGGCTGCTGCGTGAACTTCTCATCCAGGAGGTCCACGATTCGAACTTCTCCGGACACTTTGGGGTTGATAAAACCCAGAAATTACTGCACCGTCGATATTATTGGCCTGACTCCTTTAACGACGTGCAGCGATATGTGTCCTCATGCAGGGTGTGCCAAGCTATGAAATCGACACGCCAACGGCCAGCTGGGCTGCTGCAACCCCTCGAGCCACCCGAACGACCGTGGCAGCAAGTGACGATGGATTTCGTCACGGGGATGCCAGCTGGGCCGACGGGCAACGACGCTGTTCTCGTCGTCGTCAACCGCTTCACGAAAATGGCACACTTCGCACCATGCCGCACGACAATCACAGCCGAAGAAACTGCGCGACTTTTCATCTCGACGGTCGTGCGACTACACGGCATCCCTTCAGCGATCATCAGCGACCGCGACCCAAAATTCACATCCAAGTTCTGGAAGGAGACGTGGGCGCAATACGGCACGAAGCTACAGTTCTCATCGGCTTACCACCCGCAAACCAATGGTCAAACCGAGCGGACCAATCAGACCATGGAGTAGTTAATCAGGACAAACTGCCCCGACCCCGCCCGCTGGGAAGACTTTCTCGCGATGTTGGAGTTCGCTTTCAACAACGCACCATCAAGGACGACTAATCACTCCCCGTTTTTCTTGAATTACGGGATGGACCCGACGGTTCCCAACGCGACTACTCTCGACAATCCAGTCCCCCGATCACAAACTTTTGTGACGGAACTCCAGGAAACACGAGAAAAAGCCGCCGACGCAATCCGCAAGGCGAATATCACCTCCCGCAAATACACGGACCTTCTACGACGGGAACTCGTCTTGACCACTGGGCAATTAGTGCTACTTGACACGAAGAACCTGCACCTGCCCGGCCCGTCGAAATTACGGCCACGATTTTGCGGACCGTTCAAGATTATCAAGATGGTGACACCTGTCACCGCGAAGTTGTTGCTACCCGACGACTGGCGAATTCATGACGCCTTCCACGTCAGCCTACTTCGCAAATTCGTGCCAGCCACAACAGACATCGCACGACAACAAGCTGCCCCAACAGCACGGCCTGTTTCGGAACCGACACTCGACCCTTCGAAAATCCTGGCTCATCGGGTTCACCTTGACGCAGCTGGCCGACACGTGGATTTCCTGATTCGTTGGACTGATCGCATCAGTGAGGATGACACGTGGGTGTCTTCCGCCTCGCTCGATACCTCGCCACTTGTTGGTGATTACTTGGTGCGCAGGCGTGTTGCAGACATTGACCGCCTTTCTTAGAGGGGGGGGGGGGTAGTGTAAGGAATTTTCCCGAATTCCTTATCGGGGCTGACTGCTTCGCGTACAACCCGATTTTCGGAGTTGGCACGTTCGGCCGATTTCAACGCTGCCGAGGCTTCTCGCGTCGCCTTCGGCATTTCCATCGCCGAACTTGCACCCAACCTCGCCTCCCGAGGTTTCCTCCTGGTTAGGCTAGTCCTATAATAGTCTGTGCATTCATTCTATTCTCAGATTCATTCAGTCACAGCCTCGTTATTCGTTTACCTGCGCACTCTTTTACAACTCATAACAATATGTACATTTCAATGGCTCGCATGCTAAGGGATAAGTGCAGAGCTTCGGTTCCGTTGGCCTCCGTGGTCATGGTCCCAGGTGGAGGCATACTCCTAGTAATACGAGGTCAAAAACGTATCGTATGAAATGTGAGCCCAAAATTTCGTGCAAGGGCGACTTTCTACTCTTCGCCACTGGCAGGTAGTTCTACGACAATGTGTAACCCCTTTCTGTCCTCGAACACACCTCGCAGCTGCACCGCTCTGCACCCCTCCCCGCCGCTCACATGCATCAGACCCGCAATCTCCGCTTGTGCTATTTCCACATCCTCCTCGCTTCGGAGAAGCTTCCTCGGGATCGTCTTGCACGCCATAGTGGGGAAATCTTGGCCAGACGATGAATGTTTCCCAAGACCGCGTCTCTCGGTGCATCGACGAACTATTCCAGACGCGCCGCGGAGGATCTCGTCACCCAAAACGAAATGCCACGAGAGCGGCTCGGATTCAAAAGGCAGCACCCACCCGCCCAGCGGGGCCATGGCTCCGTCCCTCGACTGCCCACCCACGCGGCGGACTCTAAAGATGCCAGGAGACTGATAAGAAAGCTCTTGAAACGCGATCTTCTTGACAGAATTGCTAGAAAGCTCTAAAGACTCATTTCCATCTTTGGAAGGCATACAGCAGTTGTCGCACAAAGACTCAGCACGACGGCAGCGGCTGAAGGTCTGCTGGTGGCGGTCCATGTCGATCATAGTGAGATTAGAAAACTATGAAGAACGTTTAGCGAGTGCTATTAGTTTAAGGTTCGCAACACGAAGAGCAGTAGGGCTCAACGAACCAGAGGAGGTGAATTTTGAGAATGATCGCCAAAGAAATGAACCTCCCATATATCTGGCTCACCTTGAGCCGAATGCAAGGGGTGGTAGGTTTGTTGGGGCTGGAGGGGAGGCTTGGCTCGGTGCTGGTCTGGCTGGCTTGAGTTCTGCGCTGTCGGCCCCCGCAGCTTGTGTCGTCTCACCCCACACGTGTCCGCGGCTCCTCTGCCGGAATGAAGCTCATTGGTCGGGTGACAGGAGCCCACAGTAAACATCAGTTGAGGTTGCGAAGAAAATGTTTCCTTTTGTCGATTTCTGTGGAATCACTGCCGCTAGTTGACGGATGATAGGAAAACCGCATTGAGGACAACGGTCCGAGCTGCGACATCGAGAAGTGAGCGGTGGAAGACCGGCTTACGTTCAAGCTCCGACATCTATCATAATTACAAAGGCACCGCTCTGGACATTCTTTGGAAACAGCGTTCTGCCCAGACGATTTCTCGAAAATTCGATTCTACGTGCCAAAAAATTGATTTCTTAGCTAAGCTAAGAAAAAGTGCGTGACTGTCCCAATCAACTCTGAAGTGCACAGGCTCCGATATTCGAGAATCCAGTTTTCTTGGGTGCAGCCACAAATATTTCAGGAGTACACCAATTACGGGGTACATCCTTCCTGAACAAAAACCCTGCTCCCAAGCTCGTAAGCCGGCCGGTTCAGACATGCAATGATGGTCCGGCGTACCTTTCGTTGATGTAACTGACGGCTGTAACCCAGAACTTCGCCACGTCGTCAAGGAATTTGTGCGTTCCGCACGACTACCATATACTAAGAGCGTGTCTGAAGTGAACGTCGACGTTTCCCGACGAAACTTTGAGGGATGTCGAGGAATCCTGACGGTCTGAACGCTCGATCCGAGGGTTGGCACTCGCCGACATTCCTCGACGAAACTGTACATTCGTCGACGTTTTACTTCAGACACGCTATAAGGTACACCTACGGCTGTGCATTTGTATTCGTGGAGACCTCGATGGCTGGACTGTACTATTCCACTATCAGAATAAGTATATGCACAGAATAGGTGTACTGTAGCAAGACTCCCAGTGGCAGGAAAAGACCGCATTGTAAGTCATTATGACTGCATTGTTTCATTATCAACAGAGAACCTATACAAATTTGTGGAAATAAGCAATACATGCAGCAATGCAAGCTGTATAAACATATCAACAGCAGGAACTTGGATTAGAGGCTTGGTTTGGCCTGTTGTGAAGCTGCATGCCAACAGGTTGCTGTGGGGGAGCTCCCTTGGGTAGCCTTCGTGCTGCATACACATACCATTGAAATGTCAGAGATGCAGTAAATATGCAGTTAAACCACAAATGCTAAACACAGAGAAGCGGCACTGACACTGGAGATATGTGCATGCACTGCATACCTATCTCGTAGAAAAGTTCGTTCACATTCGTGGCTGTTTTGGCGGAAGTCTCCAGAAAATAGAGCCGATTCTCTTCAGCATACAATTTTCCCTCCTGATTCCATGCCCAAAACCAATGGTCAAAGTTAATAAAAACACATGGTTCCATTGTGACATTGACATGAAATAATATACAGCAAAACAAACACGGACACAACAATTCGCCAAATTCATGCTTATGACAAGCAGGTATCCCCATCTTTCATCCAGAACATCCCATCCAGAACCCTGATTCCCTTGTCCCTCGTCCTCTACCCTTCCCTCTAACACTCACCTCCTCAGAAACCTTCCTCTGTGCCTCCAGGTCCGTCTTGTTCGCTGCCAGGGCAATCACCAGGTTGGGGTTACCTGAGGGTGGCGTATGCAGGGCGCGCAAGGACAAGGGAGAGGACGGGTACAGCTTTAGGAACGGATGATGGGAAATTTGATGATGGACGAGAACGGAACAACATAAGGGAGACATGCTACAGATGTACGGGGAAACGGGGAAAGGGATATGCAGCACAGAGACAGGGGAAAGAGTTATGGAGTATGAGACTGGAAAGGGCTAAAAGTGGTGACATGCTCGGCGCATCAACTTGGGCACTCAGCGGTGCTCATTGCAAGCTGACTGAGTGTAAACACGTACCTTGCCGTTGAAGCTCCTGCACCCACTTCTTGGCTCGAGCGAATGAATCCTGAAGAAGCGCGTATCACGCACCCACACATGCCATGCATCCCATAAGCCATGCGCATACAAGTCAGGAACGGCATTGCGAAACACATGCAAGCAACACGACCAGAAAAGGGAGGGCGAAGTAGGTCACAAAAAAAGGTTCACATGAAAGTAGCCCCGACTCCTGGAAACCAGAGCCGCAGCAGCAACAGCAGCAGAGCAAATAAAACCAGGCCCAGCGGCTCACGGTGCTGGTAATATCGTAGACGATAATGGCGGCCGCGGCCCCGCGGTAGTACATGGGCGCGAGGCTGTGGTAGCGCTCCTGCCCGGCCGTGTCCCAGATCTCGAACTTGACCACCGCGTCGCTCACCGCCACCGTCTGCGTCAAGAACGCCGCGCCGATGGTGGACTCCTGCGGTGAGGGGCACGGCGGGCGGAAAGATAGGATTGGAGTGAGATGGTGGGTAGGGATTGTAGGAACGAGACACGCCCTAGAACAAGGCGGGTGAGGGTGGCCTGCCTGATAAGGGTGGGTAAGAGACGGAAGAGAATGCGACGGACAGTAACGGAGCGAAAAGACACACGGAACTTGGATGCAGCACGAGCCTCTCAGTTATGCGTGTCCGAGTGCCGTGCGCAACCCGCACCTGGTACTCGAAGAATTGACCCTTCACGAACCGCAGCACGAGCGACGACTTCCCCGCGCCCATGTCGCCCAGTAGGACCTGCGCGCGGAGAGCGAAGAGCGGGGAGCGATGAGGGGAGCGAAGAGAAGAGCAATGAGGATAGCGAAGAAGAGAGTGAAAAGAGAGGGGGAGAGGGGGGGGAAGGGGGGGATGTCGTCGACTGGAGATGGCGAGATGGCAGGGGGTTACCCTGTGCACTCTAGACTGTCAAAGCAGTAAATTCTTTGAAATTCTGGAGTCCATGAGCTGTCGCCTATTTTAGCTTGCAATTCCGTGGGCTGTCAATGGCTTTCTAGAAAAGTTGGGGGACAGGAGCAGGGTCTGCCGAGAGCGTCCTCGACGGCTACACCACGACAAACCGACAATGATAACTGTCCCTGTAAGGAACGATGGATGTTGTAAGGAAAACCAACTGCGGTGGCGAACTGTTGCTTCCGTTTAAAGACGCTGTCATTAAATAACGGCTCGCTGCTGTCTCTGTAGCTCACCAGTTTTGCTTGCATAGTGGGAGCAGCTGGGGCAGCCATGGATGGGAGAACACAGGGAGTGAGGTAAAATCGTGGTGTTTACAAGAAATGAAGTCCAAAAGAGAAGAGAGATATCTGTACGTGACGCTAACGTATCTTATAACCGAAACGACCGAGGAAGGATGCGCGAAGAACGGGAAAAGTGTAGATAACAAGCACCACTGAAAACTAAAACTAATGACAAGGCAGCGGTGGTGGAGTAAAAATTCGAGAAGCTAGGGTTGGCCTCAGCGTTTGACTGGACTGAGTTAGGGCGTATTCCTGGACTTCGGGTCATCAGCACTTCGGGCCTTCCGAAAACTGTGGGATCCAATCGGAAATTCGGAATCAAGAGATTGGGGTGCATTTCAATTTTCCGATTGGATCCCACAATCTCGGATGACCCGAAGTGCGCATGACCCGAAGTGCAGGAATACGCCTTTAGGAGCGGAGAGGAGTCAACAGCAGCATCCCCCAGTTTTCCAAGTTCCGTGTGCAGGCGGACGATCCCATATTCCAGTCCTTGCTATCACTCACACAGTTCAGAAACTCTGGGAAACGTTCATAACCATTCTTACCACCAGTCACCGACGACTCACATGAGGCACGTAGCAGGACACATTCATCGGGCGGTGGATTTCCTTGTGTCACGTCTTCCGCGCGCACCTTTCTTGGCTTGGTACTGCTCTGCATCTTTGCGCCCGCATGCTCGCTCTCTTAGGATCCCGCGCGTCACCGAACCGAACCTATGAAACATGTGTCAGCGCGCAGAAAACTCCCCCACGTGTAACCTCCCAGGCGAGAGGAGTTGTCAAGGCGGCCCTCGGCAAAGCCCCGCGAAGAAGGTTTCGCGGGCCTCTCCCTTGGAAAACCACTTCCCTGCTGCGGAATTCATCGCTGACGTCACGCTGTCAGGTGGAGCAAACCAGCCCAGCCTCGCGCACGGATTGGCTGTATGTTTGACGACCAATGGCACACGGCCGATGAATTCCAGCGATGCTGTACCTAAATTGATTAGATGTCCAACCTAAAGTTCTTGAACTATCTACCGAAATACAGCTATAGAAATGCAAACTTCTCCGTATAGTTCATCCGCGTTATGACGCATTATACATAGCAGTTCTGGATAACAGACCTTAGAGATGGTTCAGTGGTTGATGAGGTCCATCCGAAACTATGGCAGAATCGTGAAACTGAATGCTCCCCGCCCTTGGGATGACAAGCAGCCTATTACACCAGTTTAGTCACTTAGCAACAGCCTGTTTCTCCTCCAGAATACCGAAGTAGCCAGGCCACAGCTCCACGCGCTTTATATGAGTGTTAGAAGTTCGAAAAAAATAGTAGATTGCCATGTGGAAGGGGTTTCAGGGCCTGCAAGCGGTCGTGAAGGAAGGTTTGCAGGAGCTGGGCCGCGATGCGCTCCGCGAGACAGGCATGATCAAGGAAGCCGTTGCGCCTCGGCTAGCCGGGTCGGGCATCTTGGGATTGGTTGGTGTGCAGTCGGGAGACGAGCGAGAAGGAGAGGGACGAGAGGAAGAGGAGGAGGAGGACGGATGGGGTCTGGAGGACGACGAGGAAGAAGTGAAGGTTGACGAGCGAGTCGCGTCAGGAGAATCCGAAGGGCCAATTCCCTTGTCGTCGCATCCCTCCGCCTCCGCGCTGGAGCCCTCGCCTGACATAGAGCCACGTGGGGAATCCTCGGACCACCCAGGCTTGGCTGTCGCCCCCAACACGAGCCTTTCCTCGCCGTCGCCTCGCGAGGACGACCTTCCCGTTACCGCGTCGTCTCATAGCGAGGATAGCGGTAGCGGTGGTGCGGTTCCCGCTGCGCTGCCAGAGTCCAGCGGGCTCATGTCGTTTCTGGAGCCCGCGCACGAAACGGACGCGCAGATGTTGCAGCCGCGCGCGGCGGAAGAGCGACCGGACACGCCCGTCGGTGAGAGGGATGACGTGGCAGGTGAAGAGAGACGGGGTGGCGATGCGGCCAGGGGAACGGAATCAGGAACACCCGCTTCCATTGAAGCTGGGAAACAGAGATCAGAATTGCCGGTGGAGGGTCGAGACGCGGGTGAGGCGGCCGCAGGGTGGGAACGGGTGGCTCCTGCGGATGGGCAGGCGGAGAGCGCGGGTGGGGAGGGACTGGGTGGAGACGAGGGTTCTCCAGAGATTGGGTTAGCGCGCGGGGATGATGGCCCTGGGGAGGCGGGAGGGCACGCGCAGGTGGCGGCAGGCGGAACCGCGGACGGGGAAAGCGGGGATCGCCCGGCGGCGAGTGCTGCTGGGGTTGCCAGCGAGGAGGTGGGAAAAGGGGGAAGCGAGGAGGAGGAGGAGGATCGGAAGAGCAGCGGGCGGGAGGTGGCGTCGCTGCGGCGACAGTTGGCGCAGCAGCGGGAGGTGAGCGCTGTTAGGGAGACGGCGCTCGTGGAGGAGCTGACGTGGATGAAGGGCGAGCTGACGCGGCTGCAGGCGGCAGCGCGGGAGGCGGAGAAGGGGAAGGAGGAAGCGGAGAGGCGGAGAGAGGAGGAGGAGCGGAGGCGAGACGAGGAGGCGCAGAAGCTGAGCGCGGAGAGCGGCGCGCGGGAGAAAGCGCGGCGGAAGGCGGAGGGGGAGGTGGAGCGGCTGCAGGTGCTGTGCGCGCAGCTGCAGGCGTCGCTGGCGGAGGCGGCGGAGGGGCGCGAGGCGGACGCGAAGGCGCGCGAGCAGATGGCGCGGAGGGTGGAGCGGATGGAGGACGAGCTGGAGGCGGAGCGCGTGAAGGCGCGCAGCCTGCAGGCGGAGATGGCGGACGTTGAGGCGGGCGCGGACGAGGAGATGGGGGAGCTGGAGGAGCGCGTGGGCGCGCTGGAGGCGCGCGTGGCTGAGCTGGAGGCGGAGAAGAAGGGCATGGCGCGCGCGGCGGAGGAGGAGAGGCGCGAGTGGCGAAGGAAGGTGGAGGCCGCGGAGGCCATGTCGAGCGCTGCTGCTGCCGTGCATAAGAAGGACCTAGAGGTGGGCAGAGAGCGAGGCGAGGAGCAAATGTGAGAGACAAGGCGAGATGGCAGTGAGAGAGGGAGACGGACGAGACAGTGGATGGTTGGGTTCAGGGATGGTCAATGCGGGAGAATGCATGGCTTGGGTGGGTGGTATGTCATGTTGAGGAGTCGGTTGGAAGGGGGATTTGGACTGAGGAAGTGTGGCATTTGTGGCTTCCTCCTGAGTGTGTTTGTGTTGGGTGTCTGTGCATGCGCATCTGCCCCTGTTTGCCATGCCCATGTGCCCGTGCATCCATGAATCATACCCACCCGTGCCAGGCGGTGGAGAGGAAGCGGGATGCGGCGCAGCAGCAGGTGCAGAAGCTGCGAGAAGAGGTGGCAGGAGCAAACAAGGCGCTGGCGGAGGCGAGGGAGGCGGTGAGAGTGAGTGAGGCGGAGAGGGCGGAGCTTGAAGAGGTGGCGGGGGAGAGAGAGGCCAGCATGGAGGCTGCTCGCACCCAGCTCACTCACCTGCAGGCCGAGGTGCGTGCTGCTTAACGCACCCATCTGCGTCCTTTGCTCCTCCCTTGCACGCATCCCGCCATGCTCTCCAATCCCCATCCCTCCTCTCACCACTCACGCTCACCTTTCCTCACTCCCCCTCCTCCCATTCCCCCTCCACCCTCACTCCAACTGTCCCTCAAACTTTTTCCCGCCCATTCCCTTACTCTCCCCCTCTCCGCCCTCCCCCCTCGCTCCTCAGTTGGAGATGGCGCGGAGGGAGGCAGCGGAGGGCGGGGTGAAGGTGGCAGAGGCGATGGCGGAGGTGTACGCAGCGAGGAAGGAGGCGCGTGCGCGGGGCATGCAGGCCGAGGAGACCCACCAGCTCGAGGCCAAGCTCTCTGCCGCCACCGCTGCTGCTGCCAGCGCAGCGGCAGAGGCGGAGGAGCTGAAGGGGAAGGTGGCGGCGGGGGAGCGGGAGGTTAAGGAGGTGCAGCGTGGGCTTGCTGCTGTGGAGGCTGAGCTGGCGCTGGCCAATCAGAGAGCGGCGGAGGCGGAGCAGCAGGCCGAGGAGGCCAAGAGGCAGCGTGCGCAGGTGGGGGGAGGACAGGGGTGGGGCGGGAGGGAGGGAGGTGGGGGAAGATGGAGAGGGAATATGAGAGGCTGGGGAGGGGGGAGTGAGAAAGGAGGAAAGTATTGATAGCAGCTTGGACTAGTAGTAATGTCATGAGGGCTGTTGCTTTGCCCTCTCGTTTGTTGCTCCCCTTGCCTCCTCCTGTGGTTCTAATCCCCACATCCCCCCTCCGCACCTCCTCTTACACCTGGGCCTGCTCATCCTGGGTGTTGTGGGCAAACCGTGCCATGCCACGTTCCTGCATACATGCATGCATGCATGCGAGCAGGCGGAGGGCACGAGTGAGCAGCTCAGGGAGGAGACGGAGCGCCGTGCCAAGTTATTCAACGCCGCTGTCAAGGCTGCTGTCAGCAGGATACAGTCGGTGAGTCAGCAGATGCAGGCGATGAGTGGCCACCAGGAGCATGATATTGTGGGTGAATCACATCTCCCCATCGTGCTCCACCATTCCCCATCACGTCCCATCACGTCCCATCACGTCCCATCACATCCCATCACGCTCCATTTGCCTGCCTCATCTCCCTCCCCAACAACATCTTGCGCTCCTCACAACACCCCCTGTGCGCGTGTGCACCTGTCTGCATGCCTGTTCTCAGGAGTTGGAGGAGGAGCGGGACGAGGCGTTGCAGCAGGTGCAGCAGCAGGGGGAGGCGATGGAGCAGATGAGACAAGACATGCGAGCTCTGGAGGTGAGACTCACAGGGCTGAGCGATAATGCGTTACACAGGTGTTGAGGTCGTGCTTGCACTGCCGTGATCATGACCTCCTTGCACCCAAGTTTGACTCTTGAATGAGCTTCCACTCTTCTCGTCTGTTTCTTGATTGATACGGAGCACCATGCTCTCCTACAGGCTGTTTCTAGGAATGACAATCCTCCGCATCGATCAGTCCCCCGTTTTCTCCTCCTAAACCCCTTACCCGACTCCGTCCCCCCCTGCCACCACAGGTGCGGCTGGTGGAGGTGGAGGGGGAGCGGGCGGCACTGGAGAAGAGGGGGGAGGAGGCGGAGGGAAGGGAGGTGCATCAGCGGGTGGTGGTGGAGCGACTGAGGAGGGAGGTGGAGGAGGGGGAGGGGCGCGTGAGAGCAGCAATGGCGGAGGCAGAGGGGGAGAGGCAGGCTGGCAAGCAGCTGCAAGGCAAGGTGAGTGCGAGTCACGACATGTGGCTTAACCGTGCCTCTTCTCCTTCGAAATCAACTCGTTCTTGACTTGATCAATTGTTGATAAGTGAATCGCCTGCTCGATTCTGGCTAACAGGGCGTGTCTATCATTCCTTTTGAGACGTCTCAAAAGATGTCTATCATTCCTATTGAGACGTCTCAAAAGATGTCTATCATTCCTCCCAGACGCCTGCATGCCTTTGCACCTACCGCTGCTCGGCATTCATTACAATCCCCTTTCCCGCCCGCCCCAACCCCCTGCATAGCAGCTGGCAGAGACGGAGGCGAGGAGGGCAGAGGCAGAGGCGGCGGTGGCGGCGAGAGATAAGGAGGTGGAGGCATTGCGGCAGCAGGTGGCAGACATGCAGCGCGACAGCACTTCGCTCAAGGTGCGAGTGTGATGGGGCAGTAGGAGGGGCGAGTGGGCAAGGAGAGATGAGAAGAAGATGAGTGTTCTGGAAAGAGGGTGAGACGGACAAGTGCTTGGGCAGGGGCGTTTGAGCATTCCTGGCTGGCAGACAGGGTGTGGAAATGACCGATTTAAGAAATCCATATATTTTTTACCTTTTCACACCCTGCCTGCCCGGGGTGCCAGGTGGCAGCGCTAGAGGCGTCCAACAGGGCAGGGGAGGAGGAGCGGCGGCTGCAGAGGAGAATCAGCGAGTTGGAACAGCAGGTGGCCTCCGCTGCTGCCCGCGCTTCCAAGGCAGAGGAAGCTTCTGAGAAGGAAGGAACCAGGAGAGGGAGCGGTGATGGTGCGGGGAGCAGTGGGAGCAGCACAGCAGTGGCGTCATCCGCCAAGGCGCGGGCTGCTGGGGGTGGCGGTGGGGTTGGGGGGGCAGGGTGGAGCAACCCACTGGAGGGGTTGGGGCTGGAGACGGTGCGGTGGAAGGATAAGCTCAAGGCGGAGAGTGAGGGCGACGTGGAGGTGAGCGAATCATGCAAAGTGATCACAAGTGTTTCTCCCTCCGGTGTCCCTCCGGCCTCCTTCCTCCCCCCTGTGTGATTACATTTGCTAGTCTATTCAGGTTTCCTTCCTCTCTTTCATTAGCCCCCCCCACCCTCCATCTCTTCCCCCCCACCCTCCATCTCTCCCCCCCCCCACCCTCCATCTCTTCCCACTTCCCCCGATCATGCCCCACCATAGGTCGGGTCATCATCCGCCGACAGATTACGGAAGTCTCGCCTCGCGCATTCGAGCCAGAATCTGCCTGCCACGTCAGCAGGCACACTGGCCTCACTGGTTGGCTCGGCCCGCCGCCTCTTCTTTGAGGATGATCGTCTTTCTGCTGCGCCTGGGAGAGTGTCTCGCCGCACCTTCCTTCTAATTGCTTATGTCTTTCTCCTCCACCTCATGGTATGTATGTCTCTCAAGCTGAGCATGCATGCATCTGTTTCCGTTTCCACTTCATCTTTGCATATTGCCCATGAATGGCACACATGGTTGAGTTTGCCTTACAGTACTGCATACGCACATGATTTTTTTTTTTTTTTTTTTTCACAGGTCATGGTCTCCTTCACGCATCATTCAGCCCCGAAGTGTTCTGATGTGATGGATTTACCTGGCTGAATCTTCTAAAGCTAGCAGTAGCAGAAGTTGAGTTGAATTTGTATTCAAATTGATATCCTTGTTTTGTAATATTCTCTTTAAGAGCTGAGTGCTGGTCCCAACGGGCATTATTTCCGTACCTGCCCTTCGGCTCGGGTCACGAACTGGTCCCATATTTTTGGAGTAATCTCATTGGTTTGCGCTTTTCCGAACCAGCGGAATCAAGGGCTGTCACAAGAAAGCTGAAAGTAATCCTGGTTCGGCGGGTGCCCCTTTCGTCCGCAGCGCGTATCGGTGACCCAGGCTCCGCAGTCCGCACAACACTAATGGTACTCCAACTCCCCGCAAACGCCTGTGGCTTTCCCGCGACTTCCGCACCTACATGCCTTGAATGTTGTAGCGCACTCCCTTTCTTCGATCGTGCCTTCCCCCAACCACACCTCCCTTTCCGACCTATCTACCCACGCATCCTTCCATCATTCGATGCATCTCCCCGCATCTCCCCGCCTCCTCTCGCCCCACCCCGCCGTTCCCCGCCTCGCCCCAATTTGCTCTGTTCGTCACCCCTTCTTCAACAGCCATCTTTTCCTTCTCCCACTCCCCAGCCAAGCTCGCAGAACCACTTGTCCTGCTCATGTCGTCCTACATTCCTGATAGCTCGCCTCTCGGTTGCTAAACTTGTACATCCGCGCCGCGCATTCAGCGCCTTCTATCTAACTTGACGCTCAGACTGTGGCGGTCCCCCTAGCCGACTATAGCAACGTCGCTACTTTCGACCGTGGTCCATCAGGACCCATAGTGTGCCCATACTGGATTCCAGTTGTACTTTCAGCTTTATCGTGCAAAGCTGCCTCACTTCTTCCGTTTTCACACTGGCATATACGCATAATCACTAGATGGTGGACTTAGGGACCTCCTAGTCCCAAACGCCTATACACAAGTGCCAAGCAAAGGGAAAACTACTTTTTAGCCATAGAATATTGATTGCGAGCAACGCGTCAACCGACAGATAGTTTCTTTTCCTCTCCTGGTGTTTGTTAGCAAGCTCGATTCTTCGAAAAGCGGATTTTCTCGCATTGTAGCCTCTATTTTCCTGGTTTTGAGCAAGAAAGCGCGAGAGGCAGACCTCCACAGCAGCCATGGCGGACCCCCCATCTCACTCCGGGCGACCGCCTCGCACGCCGCGGACCCCGACGCTGCGCAGCATACCGACGTTGCGACGCGGGATGAGCAAGCGAGACTGGGAGCTGGAGCACGACGATAAGGAGAGACGGCGGCGCGAGCGGAAGGAGCAGAAGCTGGAGCGGAAGCTGCACGACCTGGAATCGGAGGATGACGCGGAGCGCAGCGAGGATGAACCCGGTCACCACCACCGCCGCATGCGGCCCAAAGTGCCGATGCTGAAAAAGTTCAAACAGACGATGAAGAAGAAGAAGTACCAGAAACTTCTGGAGAAGCTGCAGGAGATTCAGGACGAGCGGACGGAGGATGAGTTGGCGAAGGTCGGCGAGCTGCGGAAGATTCTGGCGGAGAAGAACCTGCTGCCGCCCAGATTCAACGAGCACCACATGCTCCTCAGGTGAATTCAACAAGGGCCTCGCTGTTCAGGTGGATTGAAGGAGGACACTGCATGTTTCACAGGTGAATTCAAGGAACACACAACTTGCTGCCAGGTGAAATTAACGAACGTTACATTCGGGGAATCCAATGAGCATCACATGCTGCTCAGGTGAATATAACGACCACCGCATGCTGTTCAGGTACTCCAGCAACACACTGCACGTCGCGCCCCTCTTTTTGCCCTCATCCTGCCCTCCCACCGCCCCTCTCTCCGCCTGCCGTCCTTGTGGGGGGGGGGACGGCAGGTTTCTGAAGGCGCGCAAGTTCGACATGGAGAAGACGACGGAGATGTGGGCCGCCATGCTCAAATGGCGCGACGAGTTCGGCGTCGATGAATGCCTCAAGGTAAGTGCCTTCATAATGCCTTACAATCACCCATGAATCCCATGCCCGCCATGCTCCCATGCTCCCATGCCCCCATGGCCCCACGCCCCCGTGCTCAAATACCCCAACCGCCCCACGTTCTCCACACTCCGTTCCTCCACGTCCCACGGCCCCATCCCCCCATCCCCCACACCCTCCACGTCCCGACGCCAACACACCCCCACGCCCCTCACCCCGCACCACCGCGCGTGGATGCAGTTCGAGTTCCCGGAGCTGGCGGAGGTGAAGCGCGTGTACCCGCACGGGCACCACGGCGTGGACCGCGAGGGCCGCCCCATCTACATCGAACTCATTGGGCGCGTCGACGCCACCAAGGTGCAAGCTCACAGGGGAGAGAGGGGGGATGAAGGAGCGGCTGTTAGCAGGGATGGAGAGAGGGTGGGAAGGCGGCGAGGAGGGGCGCTGTGAGGATTGTGGTACGGCATGTTGACGCTTCTGGGACGGGCGGAGCTGGACTTTCGGCAGAATGGCTGGAGAGGGGCGGCAAAGAGGGCGGCTGGAGAGATGGCTGAAGGAGTTGAAACGTGCAGTAACGGTGGTGGATTGGTGACTTGTGGTGCTGCAGCATACTCATTGCTTGGGTGTATGCATGTGGCGAGAGCGTGGTGGTGTGTTTCGTGGGGCATGCTGCATGCATAGGCGCGGGGCATGGAACATGGTGGCGCATGGGTTGTGATGCATGGGATCTGCAACATGGGACATGGTGCATGGGGCATGTTGCGTGGCCCATGGACATGGGGCATGGGGCATGGGGCATGGTGCATGGGGGTGGTGCATGGGATATGGTTCTTGGGGTATGGAACATGCGCATGTGGCAGCGCATGGGGCATTGTGCGAAACGTTGAATCCTGACATGCCTCCACGTATGTGCTGATGCATGCGTATGGTGGTGCTGCTGCCTCTTGTGTCGCCACTGTTGGTGGAGGCGCTGCTGCTGGTGTCTTGGGTGCTGGTGGTTTGGGCAGGTGCTGGGCATAACAACGATGGAGCGGTTCCTAAAGTACCACGTGAAGGAGTTTGAGCGCACCTTCGCCCTCAAGTTCCCCGCCTGCTCCCTCGCTGCCAAGCGCCACATCGACCAGACCACCTCCATCCTTGACGTCGCTGAAATGGTTCGCCCCCCCCACCTATGCTGCTGCATGCCCTGCTGCTGCTGCTGCTGCTGCTGCTGCTTCCCTCGCTGCTGCTGCTTCCGTCACTGCTGCTGCATGTGAAGCCGCCTCCCGTCGCCTCTCACCTTGATCTCTGGAGTCAGCTGTATGCAGTGCTGCATTCAGGCGCGCCTCATTCTGCCCCGCATCGTCCCACTCCCACCCCACATGGCACATGGCAGGGTATGAAAAACTTCTCAGCAGATGCCAGGAACTTTCTGGCAATGGTGTCGAAAGTAGATGGCGATAACTACCCCGAGGTATGGTGGACACATGCTTGGGGTGGTGTGTGCATGCATGCATGCTGATGGCATCCATACCCCCCCCCCTGCCCTCCCATCCCTCCCCCCCATGCCCTTCATCTCCCCACCGCTGCTTCATTCCCTATCCCACTTGCATCTCCACTCACCATGCCCCTGCCACTGCCATTGCCCATGTCCCTATAACCTGCCGTGCCCGTGCCTCACGCACCTTTGCAGACGCTGAACCGGCTGTTTGTGGTGAATGCGGGGTTTGCCTTCCGGTCGCTGTGGTCGGGCATCAAGGGCATGCTCGACCCTAAAACCGCCTCCAAGATCCAGGTGCGGTTGCCCTCCCTCCCCCCGCCCCGCTGCCACCCTCTGCCTCTGCCAGCCATCCCTCCCCCTGCCCGCTGCCCTGGCGCCCTCACGCTTTCGCTTCTCCCGTTTTTTGCCACCCTTAGTATGCTGCTTTCCTCCCTCCCTTCACCTTGTCGTGTCGTCCACACACCAACCTTGACTTGGCCCGCCCTTCCCCACACACATCCATCATCTTATTTACCTGAGCTGAGCGGACTTCAAAGTGCCTTTTCTACAACACCCCACCCTCCTCCTCATGTGTGTGCATGCGTGTGCGTGTGCTTGTGTGTGCCTATGTGTGCACACATGCAGGTGCTGGGCACGGACTACAAGAAGAAGCTATTTGAAGCCATCGACCCCAGGTGAGGGCGCACGTGGGGCTTGGCACTCTGCTACCCGCTGCAAAGGGCATGCTTTGAAAAGGGGGCCAACTCCGTGGGCAATCCTTTGGGCGTGGGGTGAACCATGATTCGGGTAACCCATGCAAGCTGCACTTGCAAGCAGCCATGGCATGGCCTCCCATGACGCACGCGCATGGCTTCTCCTCCACTCCACACTAAGTACGAAAAGCGCACCATCCTTACCCTCCTTCACGCCTGCCTTTCCCTCACCCCTCCCTCCCCACCCGCCTGCCCGCCCATGCTTGCCAGTCAGCTGCCGGAGTTCTTTGGCGGCACGTGCACGTGTGAGGGTGTGGAGGGCGGGTGTCTGATGTCGGACAAGGGGCCATGGCGCGACGGGGACATCCTCAGAGTCGTGCGGCTGCAGCGCACGGGCACCATCAGCGGGGGCGACAACACCGAGGACGTGCTGCGAGGGGGGCGCATCCGCTGGCAGTCGGGCCAGTTCAAGGTGCGTTCTTGTGGGCCTCTGGGCCTGCTGCCCCTGTGGACCGTTGGACTGCAGTCCATGCCTTTGTGATTGCTCTGTGTGGACGATGCGTCGCTGGTCAGTGGGTTGGTTCAACTCATGTCTCGCTTATTTTCTTTCGTTTTGGGCTTGGGTTGAACCAGGGGGTATTGCTTATGCTGTGGCCCATCTCCCATTGCCCCTCACCCATTGTGCTGTGCTCCCCCCCTTCCCCAAGCTGGACGCGGAGGACATAGAGGTCACGGGCAGCGAGGTGTCGTTCAAAGAGCTTCAAAAGCCCGCACCCTTCCCCCTGACTTTTTCCTCTCCCCCCCTCTCCCACTCCTCCCCCCTTTCCCCCTCGCTCCCCCAGCTGGATGCGGAGGACATAGGCGACACGGGCAGCGAGGTGTCGGACCTGGACGACCTGGGCACGCCGTCCTTCAGCGGGCTCACCACGCCCAACTTTGACCTGGGTCAACACGACCTGCACAACCTCGACCTCGTTCGTAACACACCCCCTTTGCCCTCATGCTCCTCCGCACACCCATCGTCCATCATGTTAAAGAGGGTTGTGGGTTTGCATGTGCAACACGACCCCCAGGTCTTGCATTCTGCACCTTATGCCTTCCTGTCATACTCTTCCAGTCCGCCTACCTCTCCCTCCTGCCTCTCACTATCCCTGCCTCCCCCCTCCTCACTCCACACACCCCTACCTCACTTCCCCGCCATAACCCCCCTCTCACCCCCCCCTTTCATTCCCCCCACCCCCAGCGTCTTAACTCGCTCAACTCGAGTCGTTACTTCAACGACCCCACCACCACCACGCCCTCCTCCGCCGCCTCCGCCGCGCGCCGCTCCGCCAGCATGCAGCGCCGTGCGCCCGCGTCCACGCACCGCGCTGCAGGGCCGTCTGTCTCAGGCTCCGCCACTTCCAGTGACGACGAGCGCGAGGTGTCGCGCACGGGTCCGTGGCATCAGATGACCGCAGCGGCGAGCTCAGCTCCACAGGCATGAGTGCAGGCGCGGGTAAACGGCTGAGTGTGGGCGTGGGGGAGGTGACATCTGGGGCAGGGAGCGCCAGTGGGCGGGCCAGTGGCACGCCGGGATCAGCAGTGTCGGCGTTGAGAGCGGGCGGCAGGGGGAAGCAGGTCTCGACCCCGCCATCCAGAAATTACGGTGGGTGGCTGGTGGCTCTCATTATGCTTGGCTTACTTGACTCGCAAGTCCATGCTCGGTTGTGTCTGCCTTGCTGACTGACACTGGTGAACTTGACCCGCCATGCCTCACCCTTCCCTCCACCCTTCACCCCCAACACCCCCGCACGCCCCCCGCTCCGATTCCATCTCTCAGGCACATCAGCATCAGCATCAGGCGGGGCAGCGCTAGCAGGCGTGCCCATGATGGCGCCCTCCTCCTCCTCGGCGCCCGACTCACTGGCAGCAGCCACGGGGGCTCGTCTCGCTGCTCATGTCCTTCTTCTCAGCTGTCGCCAACCTGCCGCTCCTCTTCTCCCGCATCGTCATCACCGTCACGCCGCCCGCCCACCCGCCTGGAGGGCGGCGGCGGGGCGGCAGGGGGGGCGATGGCGCCGCCCGGGGCGCAGGCGATGCTGACACCGGAGCAGCTGCTGCGGCGCGTGCAGGAGCTCGAGAGCCAGGTGCAGCGTCTGCTCGTGCAGAGGGGCGGGGCTGCGGGGGCTGAGCCTGAGAGAGCCGTGGGGCAGCCGGGCGCGAGCCAGGTAGCAAGGCTGCTACACCGCGCTTGGGGCTGGTAGAGGCGCTTGGGTGGTGGGGGCGGATGAATGGCTCGTCTATTCAAATAACACCAAATGCATAGATCATATTTTCTTGTGCACATACGTCGCTGCCTTGGCCTTTTTTTATGCTGCCTCTGCTGCAAGCTCTTTGTAGCAGGCTCAAATGATGGCCCAACACCCTGCCTCCCCGCATTTCCTATTGCCCCCTCCTCCCCACCTCCCAACCCCACTCTCCCTCCCTCCCCTCGTCCGTCCTGTGCAGGTGGAGAAGCTGGCATCGGGTCCGTCCACGCCCGCCCTGGCCCCGCGCCCAGAGCCCCCCCCGTCGGACTGGCCGCAGCCGGCAGTGGATGCGCGTCACAGCCCTGGAGTCAGAACTCGCCACCACCAAGAAGGTGCGCAGAGAGGGGGGGGGGGGGGGGGGAGGGGGAGTGGTGGGTGAGGGTGGATGGTGTGGTTGTAAGGGGATTGGCGAGAGAGTGGGTAATGGGTTGGTTCAATGTGGTTCAAAGTTCAGCTGGCTGTGTGCACGCGCCTGCTATGCTGAAGGGGTGATGTCATCACCTTGCCGCTTCCCCCTCTGCCTGCCCCACCTCTGCCTGCCCCCTCCCTCCCTCGCTGGGTGCAGATGCTGAAGGAGCTACTGGACAGCCAGGAGCAGCTGAGAGTGCTCATTGAACAGCTGCAACTACGCAAGGTGCCTGCCCTGCCCACCCTGTTTTGTTCGATGCACTTACTTATCCACACATCCGCAATTATGCAATTATGCACCACGCCTCCGTGCTGTCGTGTGCATGCTACACTAACACGCGTCCTCATCTAACTCCGCTGTTTTTTTTTCCTCGTGCTTCTGTGCTTGGGTTACCAGCAACGGAGATTCGGCGGGTGCTTTGGTTGAATGGTGAAGCAACACGCCCAGGAGATGCTTGTTTCTTTCCAAAACTTAGTGGTTTTGGAGTCTTAATAAAAGCTGATGCCTATGTACAACTCAAAAGGGTGTGCTGTGAAATGTGTTAATGAAGTATCCGAGTATATGTTTTTTATATGACGCGCCTTTTCTCGCATTTTGTACGATTGTACACGTACGGTATACATATTTCTCTGCTACAGTGAGAAGGTGCTGGCGCAGGTGAACTTTCAAGCAGGTCCCATGTTCGGGCAGGTGGGTCTTGTGTTGCGCCAACTCCCGCTCCGCGCACTCGCGCTTGTCGCACTGCTGTCCGTTCGCCGTCGCTCCCCCTCCTCCCGTTCTTCCGCCGAGTCCCCCCGCAATTCACCTCCACCAATTCGCCCCTCCCGTCGCTTGCCAGTTGATTGATTGTTTGTGCCATCAATTCGCGCCATTCATCTCCAGCCCTTCCATAACTGTCATAGCTAACTCGCATCGCATCCCCTCTCCACTCCTCAACGATTGTTCATGCAGCGCCTAGATTTTGCACTCCGCCTCAAAATCAGCGTATAGTGTACTTTCAGCGACGCGCGTTGCGTCCATCTTCCCCGGGGCCCGCGGCACCCCTTCCGACAACTCTTTGAATCCCGATCGCCATGGTTCCGTCGCTCGGCGCGCTTCAATCAGTCGCATTGGCGACGATCGTTCTTGTCGCCAGCCATGCCGCCGTCGCACACGCCCAGTTGAGTCGCGAGAAAGCCGCTCGCGCTCTCATTAATTCAGATTGTGTATTCGGTGTGAACAGCTTCTTTTCTTTTCAGATTTACGATCGAGTCGACGACAATCACCATCGCCATGCCACCAATCCTTCTCTCCCCTTGCACCGCGTGACCCTCTCCGCACTCATCAACGTGTCCCTCTCTCCCGCCGCTTCCGCGCGCGCGCATTCCCCCCCCCCCCACCCCGGCAGGTGGGGATGGGCGCAGGGCGCGGGGGAGACGCAGCTGCGCGCGGAGTACGAGAGTCAGCTTTTCGACGGCGTGGTGACGGTGCTGGTCACCACCGACGAGGTCAAGCTGCTGGTGAGCCGCCGAGGTCAAACTGCTGGTGAGCCGACGAGGTCAAACTGCTGGTGAGCCGCCAGTCAAGCCGCTGGTGCGTTGGACGTACCCGTGTGCGCACAGCTTGTGCGCGCACATGCGCGGACATTTGTGCGGATAAGGAATAGGCACGGAACAAGTGCCCGGTTGTGTGCTGTCCCCTCGAACATCCCGATTGCGCCTCAATTGCGCGCATCGCCTCAAATGCCATTGTCAGTCGTCTCTAACCGCGGCATGTGATGTGGCTGCCTGGGCATGGGGCATGACGCATGGTGCATGGCGCATGGTGCATGGCGCATGGTGCATGGCGCATGGTGCATGGGGCATGGGGCATGACGCATGGTGCATGGGGCATGGCACATGGCGCATGGTGCGTGGAGCATGGCACATGGTGCATGGTGCGTGGGGCATGGCACATGGTGCATGGGGCTTGGCACATGGCGCATGGTGCGTGGGGCATGGCACATGGTGCATGGTGCGTGGAGCGGGCAGGTGCCAACACCGGACGAGCTGAGAAAGCCCAACCCCACCTTCGACTACGCGCCCTACCGCGAGCGCTTCCCCCTGCCACAGGGTGAGTACTGATAATCGCAGCTCCCATGCTCTCTCCCCCCCATGCTCTCTCCCCCCATGCGCTTCCCCCCCATGCTCTCCCCCCCCATGCTCTACCCCCCATGCTCTTCTCCCCCATGCTCTCCCCCCCATGCTCTTCCCCCCCATGCTTTCCCCCCCGTGCTCTCCCCCCCCATGCTCTCTCCCCCCCCCATGCTCTCCTCCCCCATGCTGTCACCCTCCATTCCTATCCCCTGAAATTCACACGGCAACCTCTTTCCCCATCTGTCCCCCCGGCCCCTTGGTCCCCCACCAGGCTCAGCGCGCTTCACAGCCATCAACCACGTGGACGTCTTCTACGACCCGCTGGGCTGCCTGCCGCTGGGCGACCTTGCCGCCACGCCCCTCGCCGCCTCCACCGCTCTGCAACGCATCCCACCGGGGCTGCAGCACATCTGCCACTCGTGCTTCTTCTTCTTCACATTCTCCTTCCTCACTCCGCGCGATGCCGACGCCGTGGGAGCGGGGTGCCAGCGCATGTCGGACAAGTACAGTGTGTGCGCGCCCGACAGCATCCCTGTCGCGTTTGGAGCGGCGCCGGCGGGTATTCCCGAGGTGCAGAGGGCGTCGGGGTTTCTCTTTCCCGACTCGGAGCTCGCCGAGGAAGACACCTCCTCCAAGCTGCGCGAGCCCTCCCGCTCCCTCGCCCAGATGTGAGCCGCACTGCCCTCTCGCATTCCCTCTCGACCCCTCTTCATCCTCCTCACCCCGCGGCATCGCTCCCATCGCTTCCCATTCCCCTCGTCCTCGCTCCCTCGCCTCTCATCACCCCCCCTCACTCCGTACCTCCCAACACGCCCCCGTCCTCTCCCCCTCTCTCCACGTCCATCAGAGCACTACCGGGGGGGGGGGCGTTGGTGACGTTCAACACGACGCCGCAGTGGGACGACGCGCTGCAGGTGTGGCAGCCCAAGTACTACCTCGCCACCAACGCCTCCAAGGTGCGCACCGCTTGCCGCCACGTGGGGCAAGCAGGTGTGGGAAGGGCAAAGGGGTGTAAGGGGGCATGTCGGAAGGGATGAGAGGGGATGAGAGGGGATGAGAGGGGATGAGAGGGGATGAGGGGGCGTTGGTTCATCCATCATTGAGCCTCTCTACATCCACACTGCCATCGACCTCCCTCTCAGTTGATCCTCTCCCTCCACCCTTTCCCCCCTTCGCCCTGCCCATGCCCCGGACCCCCCTTTTCCCCCACACTGCGGCTGTGCCCTGCGCTCATCCCAGGTGGTGGGCGTGGGGCAGGCGGTGACGACAACACTAATCAACGAGGCCTACGTGGCGTATGACACCAAGCGCACCACCTACGACGCCTACACGCACGCCCTCGTCTCCCCCGCGTCAGCGAATGCCACGTATGGCGCGCTGGGCGTGGCGGGCGCCTTCCCCAAGGACCTCTCCTTTGCCCTCGCCTCGCCCCGCCAAGGCACCTTCCAAGTCGTCGCCTCTGGCTTCTCCCAGGTGGGTGGGGGGGGTAGGGAGAGGGGGGGGGGACGGAGAGAAGGGGAGTGGGTGGGAGGGGGCAGGGGCATGGGGCATGGGGCAGGCGGGGTGGGGGGGAATGGGCAGGAAGTGGATGGGAGGAAGAATTGGGGTGGTTGTTTATGGGGAGGTGGATTGTTGAGGTTAAAGCTTTAGTATACATTTGACAGAAGGGGTTCAAAAACTTTTGAAATTTGAAACTTTGCCCGTGAGACCGTGAGGCGACTCCCTAAACCCAAAACATGGATGACAAATGTATATTTCAGCTTTAAAGGGAAGGGAGGAAGCCATCCATGTGTGTCTTCAAAAAGCCCGCTGCGAGCGAGGAAATGGAGGGTGGACTCAGTGTTGTCTTCCCTGTACGCCTATTTCCCATCTTCCCATGCCTCTGTGCACTTCAGGTGACACCCAAGTCGGCGCCTCTCCATGCAGCTGTCTCCCTCTCCCTACCTCTGGCAATCATAGCTGCTGCTCTTGCTCTTCTCCTCTGATGTATTGCTTTGAATGTCCCTTGATATCCTTTTTCCTCGTAGTGGTGTTGCTTGGTGCAACGAGGTCTAGTGGGTGGGTAGCTGAACGTCAGCTACTGGGGTATTGTTTCTCAGGTGGTTGTTGGGTAATACTGTTAGCCACTCAGCTCGTACTATCACCTAGGGTAATGTATGACCTGTAAAAGGACAGTCCAGTTCAATGATACTACTGGTCCTTACTGGTGAGATAAAAACAACAGCATGGTCATGTGCAATGCAGTAGCCGTAAATTGAATTGCTCCCGGCTTCGGAGCCTCACATTACGGCGCTGTTCGATAGCTTCACAGTCCAGGGGTAACCACAGCCCTATCACAGTATTGCGTGGTTCGGTAAAGGCTCGACAGCAGCACACCTGGGTTTTAAACCCCACGAGAGGTTAGGCATATCCGAACCAGAACCTGAAGTACGTTCGGCCCACCTACGAATCTGGTGCGGTAATTTTCGCTGCGGACCGCGGTAAAAACACTGTTGCCTGCTGGTCAAGCAACAGTACTTCACGGGCAAAAAAGGCTTGGTTTCCGCTAGCTGCAACAACGACAGCCTCCCCAATGCCACTGTGAAGGTGTAAAGAGTTCGGGCAGGGCTCTGGGTAAATTAAACTTCGCCCCCTTCTGCCCCAACCTGAATCGAGGGTATTGGTTCTACCAAGAACACTCCCCTTTTCAACCGAACTCATCTCTCCGCTGTTAGCTTACTCGATCCTCATTCCTTCGAATAAGTATTTGCAATCTTCACATCCCGGATGTGCTTGGTTCAGGAGGTGAAAGGGAGTTTCCGATTCAACCCCTTTGGTTTTTTTTTCTATCTCTCACAGCTCGGAGTTGGACGGAGGGGTTAGCAGCTGTGGCCTCCAGGAGTCTTGGGGAAGAGATTGCAGCCGGGACTAGTGCCCCTGTTGTCATGTAGTGCATTTAATGCACAATTTTGTAGCTCGTTGTTTTACTTGTGGTGAACGCGGTTTTGACTGTGAGGGATTTGTTTGTTTCCACAGCTGTCAAATCTGAACAATGGTCAATCAAGATTGTGCACGCAACAAGTTGACTATGGCGTGTAGTGACCCAAGGTTCGGAAACCCTATGGCCGACTCGGACATACTGTGGTGTGGCTGTACAAAACATTGCAGTGCAATCGAACAGCGCCTACGGCGCGCGGTGTTGCTTCAGCCGGCGCAACGAATTGTCGTTCGCAGTGCAATGCTTTCTTGGGGCTGCATGTCTGCCCTGCCTTTCACCCGACCCTTCCATCCCTCGTCCCCACAGCATCGCACAGTGCGTCGCAGAGTCCTAAGACGTTGACAATCTCGCGGATCGTAGGTTTAAAAACGGGCGGAGAGCATGGCGGCAGTTGCTTGGTTCATGCTGAGTGGCCGTGGCGCGGTGAGACGGCGAGATGCCGCGCTCTGCCAGCACAGAAGCGACTGCAAAGCGCTAATTAGCGGAAGAACGAATGAGTGCTGTCGAGCCCCGGCTCCGCTCAACCGCTTACCGTCCCCGCGCAAACAGCGTCGTGCATCCACCCAAGGCATCATTGTTTCCGTTTCCCTTGAGATCAGGGGGTTCCGAGTCGCTGACCCGTATGCACGACATCAGCCCGCAAGATCGCGCTACGCGGAGGTGCTTTCGCGGGCGGAAGCCGGGTACGTTGGGAGTGCGGGTTCGGACGGGAGGGGAAGCAAGCCACGAGTGTGCGAGCACTTGCTTTAGCGTGGGTCGCGAAGCAGGGTCTATCACAAGCATTTCGCGGATTAGTCGCTTGGCGTCGCCAGACAGCATGATCGCACGCACGGTGAGGGGGAACCGCACCCGGGCGGCGCGAATTTGTTGCAGCGTGTCGTGGTTGGAGCGCCCGAGGAATGGGTGCCGGCCGGTAAGCAGCGAGTAGAGCAGCACGCCCAGACTCCACACCTCCAGCGCGCCCAGCGCCACCTCGTCCACCGCCAGCGCGGGGGCCGCCGGTGGGGCAAACCGGGAAACCGACGTCGGCGCGAAGAGTGCAGCGCCCGTGGGGATGGGAGGGTGAACGGCGGGGGCGCCCGTGTCGCTACACGGCGGTGAGGGCAACGCGGGAAGCATTTCGGGGGCGAAGAAGCAGAGAGGGCGACAGCACGGCTCGTTACACGATCCGAACAGCAGACTCGTCGATTTCACGCTGCCGTCTCCCCGCCCGCTCCGATTCCGACTCAAGCCGCATCCCCGCGCGCCCCGGGCGTCCCCGTGTTGGTTGCGGCGGCCCTGGTGGCGACGATGGTGTTGACGAGGCTGCGGAAGATGAGGCGCGCGTCGCACTCGGGGATCGGCCCGGCGACGCAATCGGGAAGCATGGGACTCTGCGCCGTCCAATCCGCAGCCGAGGAGGATGCATTGCTGTAGCTGCTACAGCTGCTGCTGGTGCTGCTGCAGCTGCGGACAGAGCTCGAGCGCGAGTAGCACGAGGTGGAGGGCGCTGAGGAGTGGTGCGATGGGCACGGGGATCCGCGCGGAGAGGTTGCCGCGGATGGACCGGAGGGGTTTGCGGGGCGCCTCGGAGAAAATGCTGGTCGAAAGGGGTCTCGCGCTGCCATGGCTGACAGCTGCATCGAGCTTGCTTCACACAAACAGCAGCTGCGTTGGGGGGGGAGGATGAAGGAAACAGTGCTTGTGGCGTGCCTCGCCTTCTCCGACCACGGGATCGTGCTGGCTGACCAGAAACTACTTATGGTGGTGGATGCGACTTTTGGGGCCAAGAGGAAAGCGTGCCCCAGTGTATGAGAGCTCCGAGCAGGTCGCGGCGCGGGCCATGCTGGCGTAACGGATGGCTTGGCATGGCGTGGCGATGGCTGGCTGGTGACAACACAATCAACTGAGGCCAAGTGTCGAGTTTATAGGCGAGACAAGAATTTGGGGGAAGAGCAGACATGTGTACGGTTTCGGAATTCGAATGTAACCGCAGGGCTCGATTGCCATGCCCGCCCCTCTATCCAAGTGTACACGCAGCTTGGTTTTTTTGCTGTAGTTTGAGGATGTTTTACTTGAAAATATATAAGAAAACCTGCCATTCCAAAAGAAATGAGATTGCTGAAACGCAAAGGGCCCAGCATGCGAAAGACGACGAGCACATCCGACATTCCAAACCACCAGAGGAAGTTGTCTTGCCCGCGGTCTTAAAAAATAACTGATTTTTTGCCACCACAACATGGATCTCTGGTCTGGCTGAACAAGGGTTCCCACCAGCTTGCTTGGTGATTGCTCGCGTTTTGCGGTGACCGAGGGTCACCGCAGTTTCCGCAAGACGAAAGGACAAAGGAGATTTGCGTGGGTGTCGCATCGCAATTGGTGTGGAAGTTCTCCGATATTAAGATTCCCGAACTTGTCTCAGTTGCTTGAATACACTTGCGCGGCATTCAGTGTGTGTTTTTCGAAACCATCTGTAAACTTGTTTCGCTGGTGTGCATACTACCTGGCTCATATAGCCTTAAAAAATTACAAGCCTGCACTCATGAGAAGCAAATTGCTCTCGTTTTGGTTTTTCAACAGAGGAAAGCAGGTAGCGTCTTGTGTTGAATGCATCTAGTAACCTTTAATAAAACGACTTACAGCAGCACTGTTCTACCGTGTTGTGCGCTTTGCTCAGGGATGCTTTAACAGGGATTTGTCGATTTTTCCTTGCCGCCATAGGCCTTGGCGCCTTGTCAGGCAATTCACTTTGCTTGGAGGATTCGCGAAAGCTAACCAATAGAAGGTCGTTGCGAGTTCGTTGACCCTCACGAGCCAGATCGCATAAACCACATCATCGAAGCGCGCCCGAAATGTTTCGCAAATTTCCCGTCCACCCCGCCAAACCTATGCTGGTCCTGCTTCCGTTCCATACAGTATCATGAATTCGTGTGCTTCGAATTCGCCCCTCCCAGACTCGTTGGTGGTTGTCCTGTTCTGTGTCAATCATGAGCGGAGCCTTGGGATTCAGGGCGGGTCTAACTTTGCACATGTACGGAAAATTTTCAGCTCAGTTACCAGAATTAGGCATGTAACAGAACTTTTTACGTACGAAATCAGTCTGACGCGAGACTGTACATAAATGAGCTCATTTCAGAAACGCGGCCCGGGACGTGCGGGAACACATCCGAAGGCTCGTCTTCCAAATCGCTTCCTGTCAAATTCGTCAAACAGTAACGCCCGTTTATCACCAAAACCGTTTCGCCATAATTTTACTCCTTTCGCCCTAGATGCGGAAACCCTCGCAACATTTGGTAACTCCCTTCCCAGGTGCTGTGCCTCGCAACATTAATGCACCTCGTCAAAAGTCCGCACTGAACACTCCGAACTGGACTAGAAACGTTAGGACTACTCCCTGGGGTACAGTCAAAATTGACAAGTGTGTTGACGTAAAAATAACGAAAAAAACGGGAGTGTGCAAAGTTGGACCCGCCCTCAGTTCTCCAAGTGAACGCTTTTGCATCATCGAGACCCCACACGGGCATTACGCGCAACGACTGCAACCTTCGAGATTAATTTAGACTGAACATTGAGGAATACGGATATGCTGCGGAATGAACTTATCATTTTAATCTGCTGAGCCATGGCGACCACCCTATTTGCCCAGCTCAGCCGCATAGACGCGCATACTTAGCTAGTGCTAGTAGCTAGAGTTCACCAGCACTTCTGTACCACCCCTTCTAGTCTCGTTTTCCTCGCCATCTCTAACATCCTCTGTTTCGGTTCCAGTAGCGCCGTCCTGCCACTCGAACGGGTGCCTTGATGGCTGCTGGCCGCTTAGCGCTTCGACCCAACGCTCGACGCCGCGTACCGCGTCGGCCCAAAGTCCTGCGCAGCCGCCTTCGTAAAGAGTCGGAGAGCTTTGAGGAACGGTCGGATTGGGCGGAGAGCGAAGAGGAAGAGGAGCAAGAGGGCACAGCGGAGGAAAATGCAGTATGGGCGGAAGCAGAAGAGACGACGGGAGGTGGCGGTGGCGGAGAGAGTGAGCGAGAGGACGGTGCCGACAGCGGCGACGAGGGCAGTGTGGCGTCGCAATCGACATACCTCATGCTCAACCCATTCGCCGTGCGCGAGGAGGTAAGGCGACTGGGCCGGCGGAGGGGCCAGCGGAGGACCTCAGGCACAGCGGAAGATAGACTTGCGCCCGTCATTTTTTTGTTTTTCAAAACCCTATTGCCCGCGCCCACGCGACCACGTTCTCTCCCGCGCTTTTTCGGCCCGCAGGTACAGCCCGTTCTGGAGGCCGCCGTGGCGCTGGGGCTGGACTTGGCTGACGGGGCGGAGAGCAGCGGGGCGGGCGGAGAGGGGGGGAGGTGGCGGCGGCGGAGTTCTACTCGGCGGTTGACCGCGTGAGGGACGCGGTGGGCGCAATGGAGGCGGAGATCGAGCGCAGCCGACAGCTTCTCACGTCAGCCATGGAGGTCCTTGCGGCCGCTTTCGACAAGCACGTTGGAGCAGTCGAGTGCGTCTTGCCGCCTCACGTCCCCTCGTTCCCCGCTCATTCGCCAGACATAACAGCATCCCTCTCGCACACAATCCCTCTGCTCTGCAACACTCACTTGCCCCTCGCTCACCTTTTTAAAACTCCCATTTCCCATCTCCCCTCTTCCCGCCAACCGCTCCCCTCCCCCTTTCGAATCCATTGCTCCTGCCAACACCCCAGTGCACTGGAATGCTTCCCCCCCACGGCCGCCACCTCCCCCTCCGCGCGTGGCGGACTGCCGCCCCTCCCCGAGCTGCGCTGTCCCCCCTCACCCTCCTCCGCTACGCGCTCTCCGGCTGCGAGGGCTCGGCGCGCTGGGGGGAGCGTGCGGCGGGGAGCGAGATGGTGGCCGGCTGCAGGCGATGGCGAAGCGGCTGTTCGAGAACGGCGCGAGCGGCACACGCTGTTCCACACGTACAAGTGAGCCCCCTCTCCTCTCCCCTCGCTGTTCCACACGTACAAGTGAGCCCCCTCTCCTCTCCCCTCGCTGCCCCCCAACCCCTTCACGCGTCTACTCGTCTGCACGTCCCAGCGCGCCCCTGAACCCTGCGCGCCCCTGAACCCTGCGCGCAGCTGATCCGTGGTCAGAGCTCGCCACGCGCGCTTGTGCGCGGCCTCACTCGCACTCATCGCCTTGCCTCTGCCCCGCGTTCTCCGCTCATGCCACCCATTCACCACCAGGCGACGGCGGGGCGCCGTGGTGCGCGCAGCGCTGGCGGCAGCGGGAGTGGGAGTGGAGGAGCGGGAGGGGGCGGCCCAAGCGGAGTGGTCGTGGGAGGAGGCGGGGCAGCGGCTGAGGGAGTGGCGCGCGCACCTCCGATTTGGAGTACGTCGCTCCCCCTTCACTCTTTCCTCACTCGCTCTCGCTGGCTCACCTTCCACGCGCCTTTCCCGCATTGCCCATTGCATGGTGCTGTCTGCCCTCACCTGCTCGTCGTCCCCCCCCTCTCTTCCTCCTGCTCCCACCCTTGCTCCATTTCCCTCGCCCCTGAACCCCCCCTCCGCCCTTCCCCCTTCCCCCTTCCCCTTTCCCCTCCCCCGCACCCCCCGCAGCTGGCGCTGTGCTTGGCGGAGCAGCGGCTGAGCGAGGCGGTGCTGGGCGGCATGGGGCATCTGCGGCAGGAGTGCGTGGACGACCTCCTCGCGCCCTCCTTCGCCGCGCTGCTCGCCCTGCCAAGCCGCCTCGCCGCCTCGCCCCCCTCGCTGCACGCGCTGCTCCACGCGCTCTCCACCTTCCACGCGCTCAGGGACGGCTACCCGCAGGTACGGAGACTTGGGGGCTGTGGGCTGGACAGGTGAGACAGCCAGTGAGAGGTTCTAACGGGCAGAGGGTCCCCCAGCGGCGCTGCGGGGGAGGCGCGGAAGACATGTTGAATTTGCTCCAATGCCCACGCGAGCAACCGACATACATGAAGGCGTTGGCTCCGTTATCCCAGCACAAGAAAGACGGCCGTGGACTCTCTTCGTCTGTGCTTCCTTGCTCCAAGCCTTCTCTTCTCCCCTCCACCCACTCTTCTGCGCTCCCCCTCCCCCCCTCCCCCTGGCGCGCAGGTGGCGGAGCTGTACCCGCGGCGCACGCAGAGGCAGCGGCGGCAGTACCTGGAGGTGCTGGCGCGCGTGGCGGGCGTGGCGAGGAGCGCCTTCCTCGCCACTGAGACCGCCTGGTCCCACCCCTCCCTGCTCGCGCTGCTGCTGGACGGGCAAGCTTCGGGGCAGGGCAAGGGGCAGGCCACGGGACAGGGGCAGGAGGAGGGAGGGACGCAGGCAGGGAGTGAGAGGGGCGAGGAGAAGGAAGGACCGGTGGTGATAACGGCGCTGACGCAAGGGGATGCAGGCGATGGTGGCTCTCAGCAGGGGGTGCAGCTGAGGCTGAGAAGGTGGAGGCGGAGGGAGGCGAGGGCGGTGGTGGGAGTGGAGAGGGCACGGCGGACACGGCTGTGGCAGCAGCAGGTGGCGACACCGCTGGGCAAGCAGGCATGGGCGTGGGGCAGCGCAAGGGACGCAGTCTCTTGCTGCGGTATGCACCTCAAACATGCTGCCTGCGTTGCGTCCCTGCCCTCCCTACCTGCCTTTCATCCCTACCCTCCGTGCCTGTGCTCTGTGCCTGCCAGCTTCCGTGCTTGCCTTCACGCATGCCCTTCATGTCTGCTCTCTTTGTCATCGCTTGGAGCGTATGCATTCTCGGGAGGAAGCACCGTCTGCAAAGTTTCTTCCTGTCCTTGCAAGTTCAAGACCTCGCCCTTCCCATCTCCTGGTGGCAAACCCTCACCCTGTTTCTCCCTCTGGCCTCGTTCCACCTGCCCCGTCGATTCCACCCGCCCTTTCACTCCGCAGCTTTCTGTCAGTGCGGCCACCGCAGGCGGCACCCCAGGCGGCAGCGACAACAGCGGGGGGGCGAGGGCGGGAGTGGCGGCATGCTTCCAGCCCATCACGGGCGCCGTGGACCCCGTCACACTGCGCCTCCTCGACACCTTCCACCTCCTCTGCTCCCAGTCAGTCACACCCCCACTCTGCTTTCGCGCTCTCTAATCTCACCCTCCCACCATCTGCATCCCCCCCCAATTCCCCAACTACTATGTCCATTCACGAATCCATGACCTCTCTCGCACCTATGCATGCCAGCCAACCTGTTCCTGGCCTTCCCATCCTCTCATCCTCACACACACACTACACAAAACAGCACCGTATAGCACCATAACCTGTCAAAATCCACTTGTTGCCTCCTGCTGCGCCGTCCCATCTCCCCCCCCCCTGGTGTGCCCCACAGCGACCTGCCGTACCGCCGGCTGCTGGAGGAGGTGTTGGACACGCACCCCACCCCGCCGCCCGCTGCCTCCCACGCCTCCTCCCCCTGCGCCTCGCCGCACCCTGCCCTCACCCCGCGTGACCAGCAGCCGCCCACCCCCCTCTCGTGTGCAGCAGCCCCGCCACCAGCTGCTGGAGTGAAGCCTCCTCGCTGCCTCTGCCCGCACGCCAGCCCGGGGTGGGGGCGGGTGGAGGGGCGGGGAGGCGTGTGCATGCGCGCATGGCGATGGTGATCGCGGGGAGCATCCGCGGGCTGGTGGGGGCGCTGGAGGCGCATGCGGTGGGCAGCCGGGGCGACCTGGCGCTGAGCGAGCTCTTCCTCATGAACAACCTCCACCACATCGCCTCCCGCCTCTCCACGTGCGCTGCAACACTCTGGGGAGGGGTAGGAGAGGATGATAGGGGTTGAGAGCAGAGGGTGGGGAAGGAGAGGCAGGAAGGGAAAGACGGGAAAAGTGGGAGTGTTAAGAGATGTTGAGTGTTAGGGGTGCATGTGTGCATGAGCCCATGTGCCCATGTGCCCATGAGCCCATGTGCCCATGTGCCCATGTGCCCATGTGCCCATGTGCCCATGTGCCCATGAGCCCATGTGCCCATGTGCCCATGTGCCCATGTGCCCATGTGCCCATGTACCTATGGACCTCCGCCCTTGGCATGAGCAGGTCGAGCGTGGGCAAGCTGCTGGGGCTGGCGGAGGTGGGCGCGCATGCCAAGCACGAGGAGCGGCACCGTGACCGCTTCCTGGAGCTCTCCTTCGCCAGGGTACGACCTGCCTCACTGCACCTCACTGACCAACAATGCAGGACCCACATAGCAGTGCCATGCTTGTGTTTGTCTCTGTGACCTAACACCAGTATGATATGCTATCGGGTTTGAAGGACAGGTCGCCCTTTCGTGATTTTCGAGATCACCCTATGTAGCACACGTGAGCTTGTTTACTCTTATTCCTGCCTCTCTCCCCCTCCTATACCCCCGGCCAGTTCCACTGCCTGGTCACCAACGACAGACTGCGGAGACCCGACGCCATCCGGCGGTGAGCACCTCGCCTACGCTCTTGCTTCTTCCCTCAGATGGTTGAGCTCCTTTGCAGCTGGTTGTCTGATGTGGCTGTGTTTGCTCTATATGGCAGATTGGTGGAGTTCTGCGCTGTGCTGGGAGATGTGCTAGCCATGCAGCAGACCTGGGTGGTGCCCGACCCCCACAATGCTGCCACGCTGCGCTCTGCCCTGCGCTGGGGCCTGCAGCAGATGCTCCAGGCATTCCTCGCCAAACACAGGTGGAGCCTCTATGTGAATCATGTCTATTTCTATCTCAGCAAAATCTCCTGCCAATACACATGCCACACATACAGTATGAGTTGTTTGACCGCCCCTTGTTTTCATTTCATCGCAGGTCTGTGCTTCTTGCAACAAGTAGCATTTCAGAGATTGACGAAGCATGGCAGCTAATTTCCGAGGTCAACAACAGCCTCCGTGCGCATACATAAATAGTTTGAATGGCGAATGTGATTCGTGATGATGACCCACAAATAAAATTATATGGCTCCAGTTTGATACATGCTTCTGGTGTGAAATGAGATACATAATGGATGGAGAGAACAGATGAGCGCACCTTGAGGTGTAGATGTATTAAATTAATTTTAGGCTAGGGAGAGCTTGATTCTAACAAATGACGAACGTATGGGCATGTAGATGCCGTGCCCTGTAATCTTGGGGTTTCGGTTCGGACTTTCACACGGCTACTGCTTGCGTCTTGTGATCCAAATCGACCTGACAGGTGGGAAAGCGTTGACGCTCGAGTTTTGTTGGTCACTTTCCCACGCAACTCTACTCGATCTCATCTCACATATAGCGTTGTTATTCCTTCTCTCTTGGTGCTTGTGTTCTGGTGGGATTGGTGGTTGTGCTTGACAGCAGAGGTTCTTGTTTGGTCTTAAAACTCCTGGGTGACTCTTAGTGCACGTTATTCTAGCGAGCATGGCAGACACTAAGTTGAAGCTCAAGAGCTCAGACAATGAGATTTTCGAAGTAGACCAGGAGGTAGCTTTGCAGAGCGACACCGTGAAGAATATGATCGAAGATGTCGATGTGTCGTCTGCCAGCGAGCCATCCCTTTGCCAACGTCTCTGGGCGAATCCTGGCGAAGGTGATTGAGTACTGCAAGTATCACGTGGATGCGAAGAAGCCTGGTTCCATGGAGAAGCTGCTGTTACGGACGATGAGGTGAAGGCGTGGGATCAAGAGTTTGTGAAAGTCGATCAAGCTACCCTGTTCGACCTGATATTGGTGCGTATCCATCATCCTGTATTGATGCATCGTCTTTCGTCCGGTAACCGCAGCCCTCTTTGCGGACATATTTATGTACGTCTTCGTACTCACTGCGTCAGCCCCTTCGTGATTCATTATCAATTGTCAGGCTGCAAATTATTTGCACATCAAAGATCTGCTGGAGCTTACGTGCCAGACTGTTGCCGACATGATTCGAGGAAAATCGCCAGAGGAAATCCGCAGGACATTCAACATAAAGAACGACTTTACTCCTGAGGAAGAAGAAGAAGTTCGCCGCGAGAACCAATGGGCGTTCGAATGATTGACCGGCTTTTGCCCGGGCCAGCAAGGTGCAGTTTGAGAATGCTTTGGGGCTAAGTCTGTCTT